GGACAAACACTGGACAAACACTGGGCAAACACTGGACAAACACTGGACAAACACAAGGCAAACACTGGACAAACACTGGGCACAACAACTTGAAATGTCCTGAATAAGACACTACTGGTGAAGTGAGCAACAGACGAACAGGTCAGCGAAGGAAAACAACTGGTTGATGAATATTGTGAGAGCTGTGAAGAAAAACCTAAAAACGTCAGTGACATCATCAACGACCTCCACAGTGCAGGGGTGAAGGTATCACAGTTGGAAGACGACTCGGAGCAGAAATACAGAGGCCAAAGGTGCAAAGCACTTGTCAGTGGTAAGAACCAGAAGGCCAGGTTGAAGTTTACAAAGAAGATGAGCCGCAAACGTTTTGGAACACAATCAAATGAAGGAAAGGCCCAAGTGTGGAGAAAGAAAGGAACTGCGTACACAAGCTCTGTGAAGCATGGTGGAGGTAATGTCATGGGCGTGCACGGCTGCTTCTGGAACAGGCTCATTAATAATTATTGATGACGACAGCAGCAGAATGGATTCCAACGTGTACAGAAACCTTTTGTCTGAGAAATGCCTCCCAACGGTTCAGGAGGAATGTTATCCTGCAGCAGGATAACGCCCCACAGCACACTGCCAACAAGACAAGACCATCAGGGGATTCAAGTGGAAGGTTCTAGACTGGACCGGTCAGTCACCTGACCTTTAGTTCACCTCCTGAAGAGGAGACTGAGGGGAGAACCCCCCAAAACAAACAAGTGAAGAAGCTGCAGTAAAAACACGGAAAAGTGAAGCATGCAGCAGTTTGATGTCGAGGGGTCGCAGCTTCAGTCACACCAAATATTAATATTATTCACGTGAACTTTACTTGTGCTCACCTCACAACGCTGTGGTGTAATACGAACGGTGGAACGTCCTGAGTTGTTCTACACATCTACATGTAGATACCAGGACATAAAAGGAGCCGTTCTGAACTCGTCTCTGATCTAAAACCCAAAAGTTCAGTGCACAACAACAAAAAGTTGTGTTGCCTTGCTGTTCTGATACTTTGAGAGAACTGCAGCTATGAAGGACAAAGACAAAGCAGCAAAAGTACATTTTTATTGAATTACGAAACACTTTCATAAAGATTGTCCTTTTATATCACGTTTAATGAAATTTCTGAAAATCTCTTCAGTTTATGTATAAAGTGCCAAGTTGTCTCAGAGCACATCTGGTTCCTTTGAAAACATGCAGAGACGTTGTGCACGTGCTCATATACAATATGCTGCCAATATACCTGGTCAGCGCAACTGATGTGGTGCTTTGTTCATATGGAAGGTTTGATTACGGACAGGAAGACGGGCAGCAGCTCAACGAAGGGTCTAAACGAGGAAAATGACTGATGTCATCATTCTGGAATATGTTTATGATAACTGGGTGATTACTGCGCAAACACCCAGGCACTTTGAAGTGATACTGACCCTAATGCACGATCATTCACAGAGAAGTCACAAAGGACGTAAAACACTAACAACCACATGACGGACACGAAAACGAGTATTTGAATACGAGCGCACGCATAAAGATGATTTCTGCTGCTCGTGAAGGAAAACTGAACAGTTCAAGTGCAACTTCCTGAGAACGGACAAGTCTACTTTTAATAAACGGGCCTAATATGAACAAGTACAAATGTGGATCATTGAAGCCTTTTGAAATGAAAGAGCTAATTATAAGTTATTTATTGTTGGATGTTTAGAGACCAAAATGTTGCAACTAATTTCTGCACGTTTGGACACTGGGAGTGTCTTTTTGTCCTCCCGTCCTCATCAAGTCATTTGATGCAAGACAATAAAAACAACAACTTGTGATAAAAAGGCTTTATTTTATATTCTATATACACAAGAGCACTGAACACACAAAAGCAGTTGTAACAAAATCAACATGTAACGTCTGACCTTTACCAAAGACGAGGCAAACGTGACGCGTGACGACACAGAGCATCAAAAAACTGAACACGTCAAAACGAGATCATAACAAGGCTCGCAGGCTGAACTGTGGAGCCCCCAGTTTAAAGTATTTGTACTGTGAAACACTGCCACATGGCTGGTAAAAGACTTTCCAAAGAAAACCCGTACAAAGGTCAGACTGCCTCTAGATGGAAGCACAAAGAAAGTCCTTCCCTTCGTCAAAGGACCTGAGTTGTTGTTGAAGAAAACCTCAAGTGAAACGGCTTCAGACAGAAGACACACGGACACGCTGAAGGTTCTTCTCTGTGAAGAACAGCTCGTAAGACCGAGATCTCAGGACTTCAGGGGGTTCATAAAAACGTCACCGACACGTGAAGCCAGGCACGAGGACTGTGGAGGTAACGTGACCAACCCTCAGAAGTCACTGCTACGTGTTCAGAAGTACTCTGGACAGGGTTTGTGCACAACTGCAGACACCACACGCACCACACGACAAACTACAGACGAGGAAACACGGCGAGTTTGACGCCACCAAAACGCTGGAGGTTTTCTGAAAACTCAAGACAAAAGAAAAGCCCAGACAATATTCATCAGACTGTGTCCTGAGCGGGACGACACACGAACACAGCAGTCCCTCGTTTATCGTGGGGGATCCGTACCCTGAAGCCCCGCGATAAGTGAACAACCACAGAGTAACAGTACAAAGAGTAAGTAGTAGGTTTTTAATGAAAATTATATATACATATATATTGTTATATATATATATAAAGGCGTTTTAAACCCTCTTGCAATATTCTAAACAATGTTTCTAAACTCTAAACGCTCTAAAAGAGACAGCATGTCATGATTTCATCTCCCTGCCTCCTCTGCTCTTTGCCACCTGCAAGCCCTCTTGGCCACGCCCACTTCTCCGCTCTGCACGGAGAACAGCTGATCAGCTGCAGCAGGAAGTTTATCCTGCAATATGGGCTGCACAACGGTGCTAAATAATTTTAAATAATTTTTTTAATAAAAAGTCCATGTTGATGGTGCGGCTCATCCATCAATCAGCCAATCGTGTGTTATGTCCACTCTTATTTTGAAAGACTGATAGAGCGACTCCACAATAAACGAAGTGTGAAGCAGCGAGGGACCACTGTCTCCACTGTGCTTGCTCAGGATGGGAGACTGCAACGAAGCCAAGATTCAACTTGTCTGCTGGATTCCTTAGATAGAGAACTTTACTGTCTTTTATGTGAATGTTCCTGTAAAGTCCCTGAGGCAACTTTGTTGTGATTTGGCGATATAGAAATAAACTGAATTGTTTTGAAAAACCGCGATAGAGCGAGTCAGCGATAAACGAAGTGTGAAGCAGCGAGGGACTACTGTATTTGTATGAATCGTTTTTCTCCCGTCTGAGTTCTTGTGAGTTTATTCAGACCTTAGAAAGGTTCTTGAACTAAAACTTGACCTTTGACCCTTTCATGAACTCTGACCTTTGAAATCAGGGGGTCAGGACTGAAAGAACCTGACAGAAGGCCAACCTTTATATCAGTTGAGAAAATAATTGTCACGTTCTTCAGATCTTTTATCAAAAATATTTTACAGAAATATAGTACCCATCCCAACGTGGCCAGAAGTGAGTTTACTGGATTTGTTTTAAATGAACGGACTCGTTATACCGGAAACATTTCACCACAGAACAGATGACAGTAACGTCACTGAACATTCAAACAGCTGCAAACTAAAACTACAAGATCATCTGGATTAAATCCGTTCAGACGGCGTGGCTGTGGTGTGATCCGGCAGCCAGACGTTGCATCCAAACATGGTGCAGACCACATGTTCTGTGTGGGCGGAGCTACAGTTCTTTTTCAGGTGAGAAGTCCCAAGTGTGAGGCGTAGCGCCCACATGTTTAAAGTATTGTGTTTATTTTATGAACCTAATTGAACTGGGCAAATCCCACTGAGATGGCTGACCCGGTTGAGGTAGGCCTGAGCGGGTAAAGTCACCGAGAGCTTCGGTCCCAGTTTGAACCCAGTTCTTTCAGTTCCTGTTCTGAATATTGAACACAGGCGGGAAAAGATGGCAGAACTCAAAGTTCCATGTTTAGAACCAGCCGTTGTATTTTCTGTAAAGCCCCTGTCTTGTTGGGAACGTGTGTCTGACCCCAGGCACTACAGTGGATCTGATGTGTGGACCAGTACGATTGTGTGCTGCTGGTTCTGTCTGAATGGTTTCCCTCAAGAGTCCTTACAGAGGTCCAAACTTAGCCTCGTAGCGACTGACCACATTCCGGAATCGACCACACTCCTTCCGTAACTCGACGACCTCTGACCTCAGAGCCGTGTTCTCGCGCTCCAGGAAAGCTGCTCGGACCGTGATCTGGTTCTCCTTCAGCCTGCGGGCGGCTCGTGAGCGTTCGGCAGCGATGTTGTTCTTTGTCCTCCTCTGCCAGTACTTGTCATCCTGAAAGAAGGAGAGCAGCGTGTCAGTACGAGGAGCTGAGCGCCTCGCTGCGCTCGTACACCAAACGAGCGGTCGGTGTGAGCCCAGACTGCTGAGTCACTGTGAGCTGCAAGAAGTCCAGCGGAACCCAGAACAAGCTCATGTTACTGTTCAGGCACTCAACGCAGCACGACTCCAGGGTTACTGAACGTTTGCAGGCTTCTCTACACTGAAGGCCCGCGCCAGCCCTCCATCAGTGCACAATTTAAAACGACTGAAGCTGGTTCTCGTCTCAGATCAGATCATCCTCACCTCAACTTGTCATTACAAGCTACTGGACTTTTATCAGTTAAGCTGTGGACCAAACTTTCAGCTATAAAGTTTTAAAACAGCATTTCATGAAACAACAAGACCGTCACTGTTTCAAGGCAACATGAATCCATCGTTAGTCGTCCCCCTTCAGACTAGCCATTAGCTCATCCATCTACTCACAAAGTGTTTCTCTACAGTGAGGTCAGCGAGTCATCTGCAAAGGGTCAGATATTAACGGTTCCTAACACTTTCACAGAACAAAGGATCTCATGGTTTCTTTACAAACTGACCAGGGATGCACAATATTCTCAGCATGGTGCCACTATGGGCCAATATTAGCTTAAGGTTAAATCCTGGACATCAGGCATTCCATCAAAATAACTCCCCGATATAAAAGACGATGTTTTTGTTTAGAACAACCCAGTGACGAGGACGTCTGCAGCACCAGCACAGCACGATGACGTCACGTGCACCTACCTGATCTCACGGCGGACAGGAAAGTTCAAAATGTCGGCGGTGTGGAAGTTTCTTTTCTCGTTGGTGAGGATGTTGGATTCTGAAGATTTATGGACTACGTTCTCTACATGGTCCCCAGTCTGAGATATTTTTCCAACGTAACCTTACTGGAGTTACAAGCCGTCATTTCTGGCGTCACTGGGAAGCTAACAGCTGATAGCACTTGGGTGAGTTTTACCATTTGGACATTTGGACGTGGTGTTAGCCCCGTTAGCATGATCAGTCTCACAGCACCATGGATACACAAAACTTTGAACTGAAAGAGTCTGTCCTTCATGCACAGAGTGCAGAGGATCCACACTGCAGCTATAGGAACCTGCAACAAGCCTCCACAGGTGAGACAGCATCGCAGGTGATTAATGTTAATGAACAACATTTAACACTTTTCATTTAATAAAAGTTAAAGTGCTGTGCAGATCATATGGCTGTTATACGTCACCAGATCTTACAGCTGTTGCACAGTTTTTGTAGCAAATAAGCCAAAATAAGATGCTATGTTCTGACAAAGGAACAAATATTTAAAATATCTGTATCGGCCAAATAAGTTTTAACTTATCCGCATATCGGACATCAGTCAAAAATCCAATATCATGATCCCTAAAACTGACCCCCGTCACAGAAGAGACAAAGATATAAATCATTGTTGGCTGGAGGGTTGGAGAGGTCATGCTCCCATCAGGGTAAGGCTTTGATCCCCAGCCTCTGCACTAAACCCCTGATGTCCAGACACTCCTTCGTAAACAAGATGTTTCCCATAACTGGCCCAGTCCAGATGAAGCAACACACAGACACAAAAACAAATGTGCACTGGGCATATTACTGGCTCTGTGCCACAAACAAAGGCAGGACTGAAAACAGAAGCTGTGAGGGAAGCTCTGGCTGACTGATGAATCCACAGTCAGCAAGTCACCCAGTGTGTAAACCACTGACCTTCTGATCCTCGGGGACAAACACCTTCTTGGCCTTCTTGATCATAGGTTGAGGTCTGAGCTCGTCCTCAGTGAATCTGTGTTTGCGTGGGTCAAACAGATCACCCCCGGGAACGCTCGACAGGACCAGGTCTGTGGGATCGGGCTCGTAGTTCACCTCCACGTCTACGTCGTCTGGGTCGACGGGCGTCGCTCTGTGCTTGGACACGACCACCTCTGAGCAGACAGACAAGCATGGTGAGGTGCAACCACCGCTGTAGTAACGTGTGACGCAGCTTTGTACCTGGACCGACTTCACATGTGACGTCAGAGCCGCTCGTCGTGACGATCAACAACTCCTCACTCTGATCCAGCTCCTGAATGGGCATGAGGGTCACAGCAGACACATCTGCTGACCTGCTGACCTTCATCTCCTCAGGAGGAATCAGCTCGTCCTTCAAGGCATCAGGTGAGGAGGAGATGTTGTTTTCAAGGAGGAACTCCTCCAGCTCCATGTACTCCAGGTGGAAGCTCTCACCATCATAGGGAATGGTTTTCTCCCATATAGCCGGGGTCAGGGCAGCTGAAGGACCCATGTCACTGCCTCCTCCCAGGTCAGCGGTACTTCTCAGACCCAGCTTCTCCTTCTCGGTGTCTGGAAACAGCAGGAGCACGTGTCAGAGACAAACATCATGCTTTCACCACAACTTTCCATCCCAGTCTTCCTGTGTTCCGGGCGTGTTCTCTTCACACTCACACACAAAGACGCCTCTCAGGTCACGTGATGAACGTGCTGTTTAATGGGATCAGAAGACTCTGTCCAACACCTGGCACCAGTACTGGTACCAGTGGACCTGACACCAGTACTGGTACTTTGAGGTGACCCATTTCAACGTGACGTTTAAATCATGATACACACACGCACACGTGTGTATATACTAATGTACATACACATATACTGGTAAATACACACATATATATGAACATGCATATATAAACATATACAGTGGGTGAAATAAGTATTTGATATTCTGCTGATTTTGCAAGTTCTTCCACCTACAATGGAGAGGTGTGTCATTTTTATCGTTCAACTGTGAGACACAATGTCCAAATAATAATCCAGAAAATCACATTGTTTGATTTTTATTTGATACAATAGAAAAACAGGACTTGATGTTTGGTACAGAAACCTCTGTCTGTAGTTACAGAGGTCAGGTGTTTCCTGTAGTTCTGGACCAGGTTTGGACTGTTGGCCCACTCCTCCTCACAGATCTTCTCCAGATCTTTCACGTTTCAGGCCTGTTGCTGGACAACATTGAGTTTCAGCTCCCTCCAAAGATTTTCTGTTAGGGTCAGGTCTGGAGACTGGTTAGGCCCCCCCAGGACCTTGAAGTTCTTTTTACGGAGCCACTCCTTAGTTGTCCTGGCTGTGGTTTGGGTCATTGTTGCTGGAAGACTCAGCCAGGACCCTTCAATGCTCTTACTGGTACTTTGAGGTGACCCATTTCAACGTGACGTTTAAATCATGATAAATCATGATTTTTCCAAGATGGCGCCGGTGTGTAGGGCTGCCCGTCTCTCGCTCTCTGCTTGTATTTTATTTTTGTTATTTTTACAATGGTTGGTGCAGTGTGCCGAGTCATATTTTCAGTATGATCGTCGGGCACTTTTGGAGCTCTGTACATTTACTGAAATTCCCGCTGAGTTTTTGAACAGCGGCCAGCACTCTCCCCCACCGGTCCTATCTGAGATTCCTGCGTTCCTTCTGCGTGACCCTGGCCTTTCTCCATGGAGGAAACGTTGCAGACGTTGTGGGAAGCGTGCAAGGATTTTGGTGAAACTGAGGCAAAGTGTGGATTATTCTATCAGGACTCGCTCTGGATCTGATCATCTCCTCTCTGACCCGTGGTGCTCCCGGGGCCCGGCTGCTGGCCAGCTGCCCGCGCGCTCAGTCCATGGAAACACCTGGAGTTGTTTACCTGTGCGCCGCACCAGCAGACCAGGAGGAGCTGTTTTTCATAACCTGCGCCCGCTGGCGCGCACATCTCCATCCACGGCTGTGCCTGTGTTGGACTCTATCAGGATGTGTTTAATCAACGCAAGGTCTGTTTCCAACAAGACGTTTATCCTCAATGACTTTTTTAAAGATCAGGAGTTGGATTTTCTGTTCATCACAGAATCTTGGATTTCTGATGGTGAGTCCAGCGCCCTGGTGGAATTACTACCACTGGACAGTCTGTGTTTCAATGCCCCGCGGCCATCAGGTCGGCGCGGGGGGGGGGGGGGGGGATTATTAACAGTTTTTAAAGCAAACTTGGCCTGTAAACAGTTGTCCATCCCGGTGTCCCGCGCCAGCTTTGAGCTGAGCGCCTTTGAACTCGGACACTCTCCTACGGTTCTGTGTGCGCTCGTCTACCGCCCACCTCGTTCTAAGGACTTCATAAATGAATTCTCTGACTTTTTGGCTGATATCACACAGAGATACACTCACTTTTTGTTTATTGGTGACTTTAATTTGCATGTGTGTTGTCAGGAGAAGCCCTTAGTGAAGGACTTTCTGGATTTATTGGACTCTTTTGGCTTAGCTCAGCAGGTGAACGGCCCCACCCAGGAACATGGTCACACTCTGGACCTCGTTTTAACACGCGATGTCTCTGTTTCTAATTTGAAAATCGGTGACCATGTTTTTTCAGATCACATGCCTGTATTGTTTGACTTCACCCCCCCTTGTCCTACTGCTAAGACGTGCGTTCCTGCACGTACGCGTTCCATTAACCGTTTCACTGCTGCTCGTTTTAATGAAGGTTTTAATTCTGAGAGGATCGAACAGCTCTTGGTGTCTCTTACCACTGAGGAGCTAACCTCTCAGTTCAACTCTGCCTGTTTAGATGTTCTGGACCGTGTTGCTCCCCTTAAGACCAGAAAAACGAAACTTAGATCAGAGCCTTGGCTGAATGACGTCACTCGAGCCGTTAGACAGCAGTGTCGCAGAGCTGAACGAAGGTGGAGGAAGGACAGGCTGCAGGTTTCTTTTCAAATGTTAAGGGAGAGTTGGCGTCACTATCAGAAAACCGTTAAAGCTGCCAAATGTAAATTCTTCTCTGATTTAATTGTCTCCAACTCCCACAACTCCCGAGTTCTTTTCTCCACCCTGAACTCAGTTCTACACCTCAGTGAGCCTTCACCTCTGGAAGCCTCAACTGAGCTGTGTGAAAACTTCCTCCATTTCTTTTTAGAAAAAGTGGCAAACACCCGGGCACTCATTTCTCCACCAGCTCATGATCTGTCCATCCCATCTCAGTGTGTGGCTGTGTTTGACCACTTTGAGCCCATCTCTGTCTTCTCTGGAGCAGGTAATGTGCAGCATGAAACCATCTGGTTCCCCCTTTGATGTGGTCCCCCTCGACTGCTAAAGGAAGTTTTTCCTACCCTGGGTCCTTTTATCCTCGCTATTCTGAATAGCAGTTTATCCTCAGGTGTGGTGCCAAAGACTTTCAAACATGCTGCTGTCCAGCCTCTCCTGAAAAAACCTAACCTTGACCCCTCAGTCATGTCCAACTTCTGGCCTGTCTCCAGACTCCCATTCACTTCTAAACTACTGGAAAAAATTGTGAAGTCTCAGTTGAAACAGTTTTTGGGGGATCACGCTATCCTAGAGTTATTCCAATCTGGCTTCAAATCTCTCCATAGCACTGAAACTGCTCTACTGAAGGTTTTTAATGACATTTTCATATCCACAGACGCAGGTGATTCTGTGCTGCTTGTCCAGTTGGATGTAACTGGGACCTTGTGTACATAATTTCGCTCCACCACATGTACCACATGAGGTGAGAATGACAATAAAGAAACTCTGACTCTGACTCTTGAACCTTACATCTGCTTTTGACACCATCGACCTCAAGATCCTCATTTCTAGACTGGAGCAGTGGGTGGGCATCACAGGGTCAGCCCTTAAATGGTTTGGGTCCTACCTCTCTGACAGAACCTTCTGTGTCAATATCAAAGATTTTAGTTCGGCATCGACAGCGCTCCAGTGGGGGGTACCGCAGGGGTCCATCCTCGGTCCCCTTCTCTTTTCTTTATACCTGCTGCCACTAGGTGCTATCTTCCGCAAACACAACATACCCTTTCATTTCTACGCCGATGATTGCCAAATTTACTTCCCCCTGAGGCACAGAGGCACACGCTCTATTCAGCCTCTTCTTGACTGCCTGGCTGATATCCGGGACTGGATGGCTTTAAACTTCTTAAGCTTCAATGAGAAGAAGTCTGAGGTCATGCTGTTCCATCCCAGTGGCTCACTCATGAACCATGACATTGACCTTTTCTCTCTAGCCCCGCTAGAGAAACAAAAGGTCACTAATCTGGGGGTGATAATGGACCCGTCCTTAAAACTCAACAGTCACGTAAACATGATGGTCAAATCCTGTTTTTTTCAGCTGAGACGGCTGTCTAAGCTGAAGCCTATACTCTCCAAAAAGAACCTTGAGACAGTGATCCACGCCTTCATAACATCTACGCTTGATTACTGCAATTCACTTCTGTTTGGAATCAGTCAGTCCTCCATTGCTCGTCTACAACTGGTCCAAAATGCTGCAGCCCGATTTTTAACTGGTACAGGCTATAGAGAGCATATCACGCCAGTTTTGGCCTCCCTGCACTGGCTACCCATTCACCTTCGGATCCAATTCAAAATTCTCATGTATGTTTTTAAATCACTGAACAGTTCCGCCCCATCCTATCTCACTGATCTTCTGCAGCCATATGTCCCCACCGCGCTCTCTGAGGTCAGCAGACCAGATGCTTCTCTCAGTCCCAGAAAAACGTCGAAAGCTCAGAGGTGACAGGGCTTTCTCTGTTGCAGGTCCACGACTGTGGAATGAGTTGCCACTGAGTGTCCGGCAGGCTCCCACACTCTCAGTCTTTAAGTCTCGCTTGAAGACCCACTTCTATTCGCTTGCCTTTAACACGGTGTGATTTGTTTTGGTCCGGTCTGTTCTCTACTCTGTTGGCCATTTTAGTTAGCTTCTGCTGCTATTTGTATCTGTATTTCTATTTTATCCAAAAAAGTTCAATCTGGTCCTCTGGACATTCAAAAAAACAAAACAAAGCAAAAAAATCTAGAAACGTTTCGTCTCTCATCCAAGAGACTTCTTCAGTCTGAGGTGCTGTATTCAGCTCAGTCTCTTAAATAGCACCTTCTCAGAGTGGATCAACCAGTTTGCTGCTGACAACCAAAACCAGCTGATCACATGCTCAAGAAGGACCATCAGCCTAACAATGGGTCATTAGCACACTGATGGCTGTTTACTACTCACAGAGGGCTGAGTGATACTAGCAATCACAGCATTGTAAGAGGGGGACAGTTGAACCCGGAGGCCTCCACCCCTGTTTAATGATGGACGATTTCTTTTCACAAAGATGGCCTCCTTTACTCCTCTCTCAAACCATCGTTCCTCCGGGTTCAACTGTCCCCCTCTTACAATGCTGTGATTGCTAGTA